CTAAGAGTGAAAGTTTAACTTCTTCTTTGCTAATTTGTGTTCCTTTTATTCCTTTTTGTTGTCTGATTGCTGAGGGTAGGACTGCTAGTACTATGTTGAACAACAGTTTTGAGAGTGGCATCCCTGCCATGTTCCTGACCTTAGGGGAAAAGCTCTCAGTTTTTCCCCATTGAGAATGATATTCGTTGTGGGCTTTTCATAGATGGTTTTTATGATATTGAGGTGTGTTCTCTCTGTCCTTATACTGTGAAGGGAAAGGATGCTGTACTTTGTCAAATGCTTTGTCTGCGTCTATTGAGAGGATCATATGGTTCTTGTCCTTTCTTCTATTAGGATAGCATATCTCGTTGATTGATTTGTGGATGTTGAACCAACCTTGCAATCCAGGAATAAATCCCATTTGGTCATGGTGAATAATCCTTTGTACTGTTGTATCCTATTGGCTAGTATCTTGGTGAGAATTTTTGCATCCATGTTCATCAGGGATATTGGTCTGTAATTCTCCTTTTATGTGGGGGTCTTTGTCTGGTTTTGGGATCAAGGTAATGCTGGCCTCATAGAAAGAGTTTGGAAGTGTTCCTTCCATTTCTATTTTTTGAAACAGCTTCAGGAGAATAGGTATTAATTCTTCTTTAAATGTTTGGTAGGATTCCCCTGGGAAGCCGTCTGGCCTTGGCTCTTGTTTGTTGGGAGATTTTTTTTTCTTTTTTTAAGATTTTATTTATTTATTTATTTAGTTATTTGTCAGAGAGAATGAGCGAGCGAGCGCACGGGAGAACACAAGCAGGCAGAGGCAGAGAGAGAAGCAGGCTCCCCACTGAGCAAGGAGCCCGATGTGGGATAGATCCCAGGACCCTGGGATCATGACCTGAGCCGAAGGCAGTGGCTTAACCAACAGAGCCACCCAGGCGTCCCATGTTGGGAGATTTTTGATGACTGCTTCAATCTCCTTACTGATTACGGGTCTGTTCAGGTTTTCTATTTCTTCCTTGTTCCGTTTTGGTATCTAGGTCTCTAGGAATGCATCCATTTCTTCCTGACTGCCGAATTTGTTGGCATATTGTTGCTTATAATATGTTCTTATAATTGTTTGTATTTCTTTGGTTTTTGTTGTGATCTCTCCTCTTTCATTCATGATTTTATTCATTTGGGTCCTTTGTCTTTTTTTTTTGGTAAGTCTGGCCAGGGGTTTAACAATCTTATTAATCCTTTTAGAGAACCATCTCCTAGTTTTGTTGATCTGTTCTACTGTTCTTTTGGTTTCTGTTTCATTGATTTCTGCTTTAATCGTTATTAATTCTCTTCTCCTGCTGGATTTGAGCTTTACTTGCTGTTCTTTCTCCAGCTCTCCTCTAGGTATAAGGTTAGGTTTTGTATTTGAGACCTTTCTTGTTTCTTGTGAAAGCCTTGTATTGCTATATACTTCCCTCTTAGGACTGCCTTTGCTGAATCCCAAAGGTTTTGAACAGTTGGGTTTTCATTTTCATTTGTTTCCATGAATTTTTTAAAAGATTTTATTTATTTATTTGAGAGAGTGCACGCATGCAGAAGCATGGGGAGGGGCAGAGAGAGAGGGAAAAGCGGGCTCTCTGCTGAGCAGAGAAGCCTGACATGGGGCTTAATCCCAGAACTCTGAGATCATGACCTGAGCTGAAGGCTGATGCTTAACCAACGAGCCTCCCAGGTGCCCCTCCGTGAATTTTTTAATCCTTTAATTTTCTGGTTACTAAACTCATTGTTTAGTAGAGTGGTCTTTAGTCTCCATGTATTTGAGTTCTTTCCAAATTTCCTTTTGTGATTAGTTCAAGTTTCAAAGCTTTGTGGTCTGAAAATATGCAAGGATTGAGCCCAGTCTTTGGTATCAGTTGAGACTTGATTTGAAACCAGTATGTGGTCTATTCTGGAGAATGTTCCATATGCACTTGAGAAGAATATGTATTCTGTTGCTTTATGATAGAATATTCTGAATATATCTGTATACTCTATCTGGTCTGGTGTGTCCTTCAAAGTTCTTGTTTCCTTGTTGATAGTCTGCTTAGATGATCTGTCCATTGCAGTGAGGGGGGGGTGTTAAAGTCCCCTCCTATTATTGTATTATTATCAGTGTGTTTCTTTAATTTTGTTATTAATTGCTTTATATAATTTATGCCCCATATTAGGGGCATAAATATTTACAACTGTTAGATATTCTTGTTTGATAGACCCTTTAATTATGATAATAGTGTCCTTCCCCTTCTTTTATTACAGTTCTTGGCTTAAAATCGAGTTTGTCTGATATAAGGATTGCTATCCCAGCTTTCTTTTGATGTTGATTACCATGATAAATGGTTGTCCACCCCCTCACGTTCCATCTGGAGGCATCTGTGCATCTAAAATGAGTCTCTCGCAGACAGCATATCGATGGGTATTGCTCTTTTAGCCATTCCAATATCCATTCAGTATCCGTTGATTGTGGCATTGAGCCCATTTACCTTCAGAATAACTATTGAAAGATAGGAATTTAGTGCCCTTGTATTAGCTATAAAGCCACTTTCTGTATATTGTCTCTGTTCCTTTCTAGTATGTTAATTTTGGCCTCTCTCTTCACTTAAGGGATAGCCTTTAATATTTCTTGTAGAGGTTGTTTAGTGATCACAAATTTTTTAGTTTCTATTTTTCCTGGAAACTTTTTATCTCTCTTTTTATTTTGAATGACATCCTTGCTGAATAAAGTATTCTTGGCTGCATAATGTTCTCATTTAACACCCTGAATATATCATTACCAGTCCTTTCTGGTCTGCCGGTCTCTGTGGTTAGGTCTGTTGTCAGTCTAATATTTCTGTGCTTGTAGGTTACTGACCTCTTGTCCCGAGCTACTTTCAGGAGTTTCTCTTTGTCTCTGAGATTTGCAAGCTTCACTATTCTATGTCCAGCTATTGACCTATTTTTAATGATTTTGAGGAGGATTCTCTGTGCCTCCTGGAATTAACTGCCTGCTCCCTTTCCCAGATTAGAGAAGTTCTCTGCTATAATTTGCTGCAAATGCCTTCTGCCTCTGCCTTCCTCTTCTTCTGGGATCTCAATTATTCTAATACTGTTTTGCTTTACGGTATCACTTGTCTCTCAAGTTCTCCCTTCATGATGCAGTAGTTGTTTATCTCTCTTTTTCTCAGCTGCTTTATTATCCATCATTTTGTCTCCTCTATCACTAATTCTCTCTTTTGCCTCACATTTATCCTAGCAGTTAGAGCCTCCATTTTTTTATTGCATCTCATTAATAGCCTTTTTGATTTTGACTTGATTAGATTTTATTCTTTTATTTCTCCAGGAAAGGATTCTCTTGTGTCTTCTATGCTTTTTTCAAGCACACTAATATCTTTTTAATCATTATTCTGAACTCAGTTCTGACATCTTACTTATATCCATAATGATTAAGTCCCTGGCAGTCAGTACTGCCTCTTTTGTTCTTTCTTGAGATGCATTTTTCCCTCTTGTCATTCTTTCAGAAAGTGGTTGTCTTTCTATATGTAGAGTTATAGCTATTTTTTCATTAGAGCCTCGGTTGAGTTCTCAGGTGTTCAAAATTATATGATAGCTATCTAGCTAAATTCCATGAGACTAGAGGAAACTAAGATCTCCTACTCCTCTGCCATATTGGACTATGAGTTTTTGTCATTTTGGAAAGATGTTTATTTTGTCTTCATTTTGATGGATATTTTTATGAAATATGGAATTTTAGGTTGACAGGTTTTACTTGCAGCACCCTGAGATAATGATCTGAGGTGAAATCAAGATTTGGACACTTGATCGACTGAGCCACCCAGGTGCCCCAATACTGTTTCTTCAAAGGAGAAATTACCTACCATTCTTATGTATGTACCTCTCTTTATAATATCCTCTTTCTCCCTGGTTGGTTTTACAGTTTTCTCTTAATTTTTGGTTCTCAGAAATTTGACTATACTGTGTAGTTTTCTTTTTGTATGTTCTGCTTGGATCTTACTGAGACTGTTGAGTATGTAGGTTGGTGTCTTTCATCACTTTTGAAACTTCTTGGCTGTTGAGTTGCCTGGGTGGCTAAGTCATTTAAGCGTCTGACTCTTGGTTTTGGTTCAGATCAGGATCTCTCAGTCGTGAGATTGAGCCCTGTGTTGGGCTCTACTCTGAGTGTGGAGTGTGTTTGGGATCAGTTCTCTTCTCTCCTCCAATCCTCCTCCCATTCCTCCACTACTCACGCTCTCTCCCCTCCCTAAAAATCTTTAAAAAAAAAAAAAAAAAAAAGAAAGGAAATTTCTTGTATTTTATCTCTTCAGATATTCTACCTCATTTTTTTCTCTTTTCCCTTCAAGGCTCCAATTATATGAATTTGCTGTTGTCCCCAAATCATATATGTTCTGTTCCTTTTTTTAAAAAACTACTTCCTTTCCTCTCTGTGTATCAGTTAGATAATTAAAAATTACAGGGTGAAGTCCTTGTTAATATCTCTTGTAGTAAGGAAAGGCAGTTAATATTTTGTCTATTCTATTGCTATCATCTGTGATTTTAGAAAAAAAGATTAATTTGTTCATGCACTCAGCTTCATTAGTAGTGTGTAGTCTCCATGATAGATGGAAGTATTGTTTAAAAATATTGACTGGAGCTTAAAAAAGCCTTAAGTTTCACTGTTTAGTGAATTGGATTTCAAAATATTAAAGACCCTTGGTATAAACAATTGAATATGTTCTTTAAATACACTATTCTAAATTTTAGAAATTCATATTGCTATGCAAGTATTTACATATTTTATATTATCATAAAATATTTGGTTAACTGAGTTTCTCTTTCATCTCGGTAGTAATTTTATTTCCAATTAAATTTTTTTAGAAAGCTTAAAATGATGGATAGATTGTAATTGCTGCTTTTAATATTGATTACAGTTAGAATGGGAACAGTATATTATGTTATGCTATAAATTATATTATACTACATTATATTATGTTATATTGAAATAATTCATTTTTTCTTACTTTGCCCTAATTTGTTAGAGGAGTTCAATGATAGAATTTTACGACCAGAGTTATCAAATGATGAAATGCTGTCTCTTCATGAAGAGTTGCAGAAGATTTATAAAACATATTGTTTGGATGAAAGTATAGACAAAATTCGATTTGATCCCTTTATTGTAGAAGAGATTCAAAAAAGTAAGTCAAAGATGTGATGAGACTATAGCCCTTTTACAACTATTAATGTTTTCAGAGTTTTCTCCTGTATTCAGTGTTTATTATTACAAGAGCTGTGTGAGGTGCATAGGTAGCCATTATCCTATTTAACTAAAAAGGTGAAAGCTTTCATGAAGAAATTTACTCAAAATTCACATAACTAACACTTGCCAGAACTGGAGTTTGGTGGTTCTGGTTCCTCATCCTTGTTTGATTTTTATACCTTACAAGTGGCTTTTCTGCAAAAACTGTTTGTATGCTCTTTCACTGTTATTTTAAACTAATATATGATGTATTTATGGTATTCATAAACAATTTTTACAATATATTTTTTCTCAATAGTTGCTGAAGGCCCGTATATAGATGTTGTGAAACTTCAAACTATGAGATGTCTTTTTGAAGCATACGAACATGTATTGTCTCTCTTGGAGAATGTGTTTACACCTATGTTCTGCCACAGTGATGAGGTAAGTCAAAATATTAATCTTGTTTAAGGAATTTACATCAAAATTTAATAGTGGTTTTGATATCAATAGATGAGTGATTCAAATAACAAAACTAAAACATGATTAATTAAAAAAAATAAATACTCTTTCACTACAGAAATTAATGGAGATTAGAAGTTTACTGTAAAAATTGTGGCCAAATTGGTCTACCTCATTTGCCGTATGCCTGAGTGGCTTTGTAATACTGTGATGATGCAGAAACTCCACTCTTCTTTTATATATATTATTCACAGATGTGGAAATCAAATTGCCTAAATTTATCCATTTGCAGTATTGAAATCCTTAACTCTATTTGCCTATGGTTGTTTTCACTTGATTTAAATTTTCTTTAAAGTGGAAAGTAGTAAGGTAAAATAGCATGTTTTAATATAAAATAGTTTAATCATAATTTTTTAAAAGTATTTCAGGCAACTTTTAAGAGGTGCAGAATCACCAACACGCAATTCAAAATTGAACAGGTAGGTATGGTAAGTCATCTGTATGGTTTGCTTTTGTAATTATTTTTTTTTTAATATTTTTTTTTTTTAGATTTTATTTATTTATCTGTCAGAGAGATAGAGAGAGGGAGAGAGAGCGAGCACAGGCAGACAGAATGGCAGGCAGAGGCAGAGGGAGAAGCAGGCTCCCCGATGAGCAAGGAGCCCGATGTGGGACTCGATCCCAGGACGCTGGGATCATGACCTGAGCCGAAGGCAGCTGCTTAACCAACTGAGCCACCCAGGCATCCCTGCTTTTGTAATTATTGATGCAAATTATTCTTGTGATAGTATTTTCTTTCTTAGTCTGTTTTTCTTTGACTCTGTGGTTCCATTGTTACACAAGTAGACAAGACATTTTATTAAGTAATTGTAGAGTTTTACAATATAGAGTAACCTGGAAATGCCTGAAATTCTTTTAGAAAAACTTAACAAGATAACACACCATTGCCTTGCTACATGGACTACATGCATAAATGAAATCTACAGATAACTCAAATTTAGACAGATTTTTTTCCCCCCCAGAGAATACTTTTTATTAGAGTACTTACTGGTTACAAATGTGGAGAGTTTGTTCTCTGTTTCCCTTCTTGCTTTCTGGAAATATACGTGTGCAGTTATATAACTCAGAGAAATCACAGAAAAGAGAACTTAATCCATTTATAAACTGGATAAGTAATGTCTTGATTTGCCCTTATGTTGTTATATGTACAAAATTGACACAGATATCAAATCTATAAATCCACAGAATATTCACATTGCTCTCAACACCTTCCAGTTTGAGCAAGAATCTAATATATAAATAAATTGGAGATATGGTGCAAAGACAAAAGTAGGTCAGAAACTGGAGTAAATTTTTAGATTGTACAAGGAAAAATGTGAAAACCTTAGCCATGGGGAGAATATATTGTGTTTTTGGACATAACCAAGGGATGTAGAAATGGGTATGAATTTTTTGATTATTGAATTTATATATTACATTCGTGAAACACTGACTTTACTTAACAAAAATTCTATCCTTGTTATTTAAAACAGCATACTTTACCCAATTAAAATCTCTTTTTTTTTTAAATATATCTTCTTTGATTTAAATACTTTTTAAAGACTTTTATTAAATTTTCCAGCATCATTTGAGAAGCAGGTGGAATTTATTTCTGTTCATAGACAGAATGTTTGCAGTGCCATAGTAGAATATTAAGTAGAATATTAAGTCCTGTATAGGACTATTTAAGGGGAAGTGGTTCTTTGATCTTATAAACCTGCTGAGGAGCTAAGTTAGTGTCATCACTTCAGAGCTGGAAAGCTTTCTTTGCCACTTTGAGAACACCTGGTTGTCTTCAACATACTACATTAATTTTGCTTTCTTTAAAATATAAAATGAACAGAAAGAAAATAATGGACTCTTTTCATTGTGGGTACTGATTATAGTCTTTAAAAGTATGTTTTTCTTTATATTGACCTGACTTTAATGTTAACTATCAGTCTTGTCAGGACTCTGCTTCTGTGATACTTATTCATTTACCTATATAAAATAAGTAAAAGACTTACTTAATGTTCTTTCATTGAAAATTTAGAGCAGCATTGCTAATTTGCTAAGTGACTTAAAATATGTATAATATTTATTCATATATTTTATGTCTATATTCTGTTTAATTTTATTTTAAATGTAAAAATTTTAATGCATATTAATGTTAGCTTGTTCTGTTTCTTCCATACTCAAAGGATGGCTTAAAAAATATATTTAGGGATTTTTTTGTTGTTGTTGTTCACTTTGTTTCTTAGCTTAAAACATATACTTCAGAATGTGTGAAGCACACATAATTAAATCTAATATGGACTTGAATTTCATGTTGGAAAACACTGAGCTTGTTTTCTGTGCCAAGTTTTTGGTGGCTTAGTCTCTGCATACTTTCCACCATATCAAACAAATGGTGTGCCTAAGTGAGGGCAAAAAATAACAGGTATTTCATGACATACTAGTTTAAGAACTTTTTTTTTAATGAGCTAGAATTCATACGCCCAGTTCCCTCCCGCACAGCCATGGTGCTTTCTCTTTCCTTTATTATGTTATACACATTCTTTGTAAAAATGAATGCTCTCCAGTTGTGTAAATTTTAAAGCTTTTAAATTTTGTTTTGTGTTCTAAAGTGAAATTTGTTTAATATCTGGGCTTTCTTTCTCTCTCCTTTCCTTATATAATTTCACATATCTGTTACTGCAGAGGTAGCCTAAGTTTGGATGATTTTCGGTAAGTCTTGAGACAGCATGTGATTTTTTTTCTATATAAATTATCTGTTTAAATTCAGAAAGTATACCCAAAATAACTTAGGTACAACAAAAAGGGAAAAAAGAAACACTGCTATTACTACTGCCTTTATATCAGCTATTTGAGATATCTTTTTATTTATTTATTTAAAAACTATTTAAATTCAATTTAGTTAACATATACTGTATTATTAGTTTCAGGGGTAGAATTTAGTGATTCATCAGCTGCGTACAACACCCAGGACTCATCATATGCTTTCCTTAAGGCACATCATCCAATTACTCCATCCTCCAGCCACCTCCCTAGTTTGTTTCCTGTAGTTAAGAGTCTCTTACGGTTTGCCTCCCTCTCTGTTTTCATCTTATTTTATTTTGGGGCTATCCTTTTATTTTATTTTTTTAAGATTTGATTTTATTTGAGAGAGGGAAAGAGAAAGAGCAGAAGCAGGGGGAGGGGCAGGCTTCCTGCCAAGCAAGGAGCCTCATGTATCTGAGGACCCTGAGATTGTGACCTGAGCTGAAGGCAGAGGCTTAACCTACTTAGCCACCAGGTGTCCCTAGGATATCATTTTAAAATTAAAATTAAAAAATTAAAAAAATTTTTTTTTTAAGATTTTATTTTATCTATTTTTTGAAGTAAACTCACACCCAAGGTGGAGATTGAACTCACAACCCTGAGATCAAGTCTCATGCTCTACCAACTGAGCAGGCCAGGGCTCCCTGGATATCTCCTTTTTGAAATAGCATGATATATGTCATAAAATTAAAATGTCAGTTTAAAATAAAATGATAAGCTAGTGTCTAGCTGTTCAAAGCTATTCATTTTTTTGTTACTGGTTTTGCTATATTTTAAAATAACTTGTGTTTAAAGAACTTTTTTTAAAAGCAAGAAGTACAGTATTTGTATTTCTGGGGATAATCAGATTTTTTTTTGATAATCAGATTTCAAAAAGCCCAATTTTTTATAATCTACCTAAATTCTAGAGATTTTAATAATATTTTGTTAACATTTTCATAATTGGTTTTGGAAACATTCTATCAGAGAAGATTGTGTTTACAGTTCTGGATTTAAAAAAAAAACACTGATTGGATGCTTGTTTAAATAAAATAATCTTCTACCTTTTTTTACTACTAACTGCTTATTTGAGTCTTTCCACTTTTTTTTTTCAAGATTTTAATTAATTAATTAATTAATTTGACAGAGAAAGAGAGATCACAAGTAGGCAGAGGAGCAGGCAGAGAGAGAAGGGGGAAGCAGGCTCCTCGCCGAGCAGAGAACCCAATGCAGGGCTAGATCCCAGGACCCTGAGATCATGACCTGAGCTAAAGGCAGAGGCTCAACCCACCTAGCCACCCAGGCACCCCGAGTTTTTCCAGTTTTAAAATAAGTTTGATTTGCTCCTTAGACATGTAAACAAAATGCACATGTTATTAATGTACCAGGCGTATTTGAAACTTGATTGATTTATTTTTATTTCTGTAATTGTTGCATTATTTCAGTAAATAAATTTTTCTTGTGGGAATAATAGCTATCCATTAAGTTAAGCATCCAAAGCAAACTTTTTAGGATTTTTTTTTTTTAAAGATTTTATTTATTTATTTATTTGACAGAGATCACAAGTAGGCAAAGAGGCAGGCAGAGAGAGAGGAAGGGAAGCAGGCTCCCTGCTGAGTGGAGAGCCCGATGTGGGGCTCGATCCCAGGACCCTGGGATCATGACCTGAGCCTAAGGCAGAGGCCTAACCCACTGAGCCACCCAGGTGCCCCACTTTTTAGGATTTTAAAATAGTCATTTTTGTTTGGGTATCTGTTGTTCAGGCAACATTACATAGTGAGCATGAGTTTTAAACTGAGTAAAAGTTCTGCTTTTCTTTGTTGAAACATGGCACAGTAGGCTGTTATGGAGGAAATTTTTGCTGTGTTTTGGCTTATTTTTTGTTGTTGCTTTCCAGCTATTTCTGCTTTTAGAAATTTACTTTTGAAAAAATTATGAAACCAATATTTAATATGTAATGTCAGAGCAGGCTGCTTCCTTAGGCTGCGTTTGCTTTTGCTAACCATTCCCTTTGGCGTTTTCCCCCTTCTCTTTGGCATTTTATCTTTTTTTTTCTTTTTTGTTACTTTGAAGATTGTTACTTTTTGTTACTTTGCATTTTATACTTCATTCCTCTTTTGAGTATATGATTATAAAGTTGAAATTTGCTTAAAAATTTTCAGTCACAGAGGACAGAATTTTTTTGTTAAGGTCTGTCTAAAAATGAAGGACTGAGAAGGTCATAGTTTCATATGTTTTTTTCTGTTACACTATGTTATTCTAGCAGTACAGTTCTAAATCGATACATTGTTTTGAATGTTGATCTTAACCACATTTTTTATGCTATTTTAAAATATGTATGGTAGTAAGAACTATGTACCACTAGGGGGCTCTCATCTCTTAAACATTTTAGTTCAGTTAATGTTTTAAATAGTAGGTGGATTCCAGACATTTATTAGTGAATATTGCCCCATATATTCCTACCCCCAAATTTAAATTTTAAATATTCTGTCACTTTTGGCATCTGAGATGTTGGAACGCTGTCTATGACTAAGAACTCCAAAAAGTTATGTTAGCTCTATCTCTAGTTTACCCTTTTCACAGCTATTCTTATTGCTTAGAGTAAACTAGACTGTCGTGATAATTTGCTATGAACTTGATACATTTTTGTTTAATATTTAGGAGCACCCAGAAAAGAGGAGAATCATTTGGAATCAGCAGAATAGGTAGCAAAATTAAAGGAGTATTTAAAAGTACTACAATGGAAGGAGCTATGTTGCCTAATTATGGGTTAGCTGAAGGTGAAGATGACTTTGTAAGTAAAAATTCTTCAATTTAGTATATGTATGAACTCAGACCTAAAATGGCATAAAAATTGCTTATTTTCTATTTTCTCTCCCCTTTATTTTACTTATTTTAGACTTCTTTTCTATCCCTTATTTTTTTCACTAGTTATTATAGTTTCATGGTGCTAATCTAATTTGTAAAGATCCTGAGCACTAAGTTAACTGCTTGTTAAGGCAAGGATAATTTTTGCTTAGCTGAGATAGTTCTGATAGTCAGACAATTTACCATCTTATAGTTAGGCTTTTACTTTGTATCCTGATCTTTTTTTTTTTTTTTTTAAGATTTTATTTATTTATTTATTTGACACAGAGAGAGAGAGAGAGAGAGATCACAAGTAGGCAGAGAGAGAGGGAAGCAGGCTCCCCGCTGAGCAGGGAGCCTGATGCGGGGCTCGATCCCAGGACCCTGAGATCATGACCTGAGCCAAAGGCAGAGGCCTAACCCACTGAGCAACCCAGGTGCCCCTTGTATCCTGATCTTAACTCTTTCTAACCATTTGGTCCAGGCAGGCAGAATTGTTGATAAATCCCCTTACTCCTTGATACTCAAACCGTGATTGATATATCAACACCATTAGTCTTACATGGGAGCTTATTAAAAGTGCAGAATCTCTGGTTCCATCCTAGACCTACTGAATCAGTTTGCATTTTAACAAGATTTTTGGTAGATTTAGGAATCTGCACCTTACACTGACCATGCAGTTTTATCTCTGTGATCATTGCACATGCTCTCCTTTGAATACCCTTCCATTATTTACCTAGAAAATTCATCCTTAACTTTCAGAATCCAGCTGCTTCCCTTAAGTCCTTACTTGGGTCCTCAGGTAGAATTGAACATTCCCCCTTTGTGCCCCTTGTTAGATCACATGTGAAAGCATGCACCCAAAAATTGTATTTGAAATTATATGTTTATGATTGTTTTCCCTACCAGTTAGTTCCATAAAGACAGATATTGTCTCATCTGTGCTTTTTGTTTGTTGAACAAATCTTTATTAAACAGAGTTCCTGGATGCTTGTTTTGCTCCTTAATGACTGAGCAGTGGGGATAAAATGGTGATTAAGATAGATACTTTGCCCTTAAGGGATTTACTAACCTGGATATTAAAAGGGATGGATAGTAGTGATTGGATTGGCAATGACCAAGAAGAAAGAATGGGGGAGAGAAGAGTATATAAACCTGTTTTTTCTCTCACTCCTTCCTTTTAACCTCTGTCCCATTGCATGATGAATTGTTAAGGAAATTCACTGATTTTTCATAATTTAGGTGGAAGAAAATATTAATTCTTTTTTTTCCCTTCTTAGGTAATCCAAATATAACATTGTTTTTTCTGTTTATGCCCTTGTCTTTTTTAAAAAGTATGGGTAGAAGAAAGACAGTAGACCAGAGGAGGTAGTCTTTTTTCAAAATAATGTTTATTTACGTATTTTTAAAATTTTAAGCATATTATAGACTTAGTTTTTTATTTTATTTTTATTTTTTAAAAAATATTTTATTTATTTATTTGACAAAGAGACAGTGGGAGAGGGAATACAAGCAGGGAGAGGGAGAAGCAGACTTCCGTCTGAGCAGGGAGCCCTATGTGGAGCTCGATCCCATGACCCTGGGATCATGACCTGAGCCGAAGGCAGATGCTTAATGACTGAGCCACCCAGGCGCCCCGTCTCAGTTTTTTAATAATATGGAAAAGTGGAAACAAATTTAAAAATACCACCCATAATCCTGCCACTCAGTAAGCACTTCTGTTAACATTTTGGTGATTTAAAAAACAACAACAACAACAGAAACCCTTTCCTTTCTCATCCACATAGATTAGGCTACATTATGTATGTAGGTTGCTATCCCACTCTCTTCCCACTTCATATTACAATGAAAGCATTTACCCATGTTATTGTGAACTTTCCAAAACATAATTTTGTTTGGGAAGATATACTTCTTATTTTTTGTTTTGTGTGATTACTTGAAACATAAGCTGTTTTTGTTTTGTGTGTGTGTGTGTGTGTGTGTGTGTTTGCTTCAGGAATAGGAGGATAGTCTTTAAAAAACTGAGAGAGTTCTGTTTTATAGTGGCCCAAAGAAGAAGAAGATTCTTGATTTAGAAGCAAAGATAGTGGTAAGGAAAAGAAAAGAAGAGAGCAAACTAACCTCTAATACTCTAAAAAGAGAAGGTGTAGGTGAATAGACTATTGACCCAGACTAAGGTGGTATCAGTTAGGATTTAGAGGGTACTGTGCTAGGTTTTTTTTTTTTTTTTTTTTTTTAAGTTTATTTTTTTAAGTAATCTCTAACCCCAACGTGGGGCTTGAACTCTTGACCCCAAGATCAAGAGTTGCATGTTCATCCAACTGAGCCAACCAGGTAGCCCAGTACTGTGCTAGTTCAAAGCTGTGGGAAATCTTTCCTTGAGAAATCTTTGCCTTGTTGAGGAAGTTTAGGGGAAAGGGAAATGGCCAGACTCCTACTAAAGTGGTGTGTAATTCACATTTGGAACCTAGAAGACATTTCTTTTAGAAACCTTGATGTGATCACTTGGTGGCAGTGTCTCCTTGCAATGTGACCTTGGATGAGTTGCTTAATTTTATTGTGACTTGGTTTCCTCACATGTGAAATGGGGATGAAAGTATCTAGCTTAGGTAAGGGTGTTGTGAAGATTAAACCAGTAATATGCACAAAACACTTAGCACAGTGCCTAGCATATGGTAAGCATAATAAGCACTGTACAGTATTATAATAGCATCAGTTCTTTTAAATGTATGAATGTAAATTATGGATTAGATTGACATGTGTATGCTGGCCTGGGAACCAAAGTCCACTGCATAAAATTGAATATATTTGAAACTGTTTATCTGTCCATGTTAAGAACTGATTTGCAAATAAACTTCTGGAATATAATATGCCCATTGGTATTTTGGCAGTTATCTCCATATAGTAAAAGATAATAATGAGAAACATTAGATTTCCTAAGGAAACGGGGGACATCTTTTTGCTTCTTATCCTCTGCTACCCTTATTCTCCATCCTTTTGGTAGAGGGAAGATCTATATGAAAACAAAAAAGTACTTTATTTTCCTTTACATTAAATCTTGGTTTATAATATTAACTTACTTTCAAATAACATTAAAGGAAGCCCTGAAAATTCTTTAGAAAAATACTGTTCTAGAGATTATTCATTAAACTTTTTTGATATAAATACCATTTAAATGGTAACAGTAACAGTAATACATTTTAAACAATTTATCCTTTGTTTCATGGATATTTTTATGTTGCTAAGAATTTTATTTTCTCATTTTGTTTCTTAGATTGAGTTTGGGGGACTTTTTATTTAAGAATGTCTATTTTTCTTTTTTAAAGTAAACTCTACACCCAACATGGGGCTTGAGCCTATAATGTTGAGATCAGGAGTCATGTGCTTTACTGACTGAGCCAGCCAGGTGCCCTATTTTTGGCGTTTAGTCAGCTTGTTAAACAAATTATCTGTCATTTTATGATCAATTACTCTTCTGATATCTCAGAAGCTGAATCCATTAACAAAAATACAATTGTAATAGCCATAGAAAATGCCACTCTGTACCTCAGGTTCCAAGTAGTGGAGTGGGCATTTCCATCACACATTCTTCTCTCTGTTTTTCTTTCAGGTATATAAAGAGGTAACCTTGTTCCAGAAAAGGCAAAAACCAATTCATATAATCTGTTTTTATAGTTTCTTTTTTTCTTTTTAGGACTTTAAGACTTTTTAGTAGAGTATTAAGAGGTCCTTCTAAGATCACCAATAGTCTTATTAGAGATTATAAAAAGCCATTTTAGGACAAGAACAGAAAAGGTAATTGCTAAGGAATTGTTTGGGGGAGGGAAGGAATTCACTTAGACAAGAGGTGACTGCCAGGTTTGGGGAAAAAGGTAAAACTGAGAGTGAAGATAGGTTGCTAAAATTCTGGAAAGAAATTTTCCTACTACTCATTTGCCCTGAGTAGACTGTTCAGAATTTTCTTCAGTGTGCACAGTTTTTGACTCATTGTCTTAAAGAAGTACGTTCAAGGGGCGCCTGGGTGGCTCAGTTGTTAAGCATCTGCCTTAAGCCCAGGTCATGATCCCAGAGTCCTGGGATCAGTGGGAGGCCTGCTTCTCCCTCTCCCACTCCCTGCTTGTGTTCCCTCTCTCTGCCAAATAAATAAATAAAACATACAAAAGTATGTTCAAGATGGATGTGTTTATCTGTAACATTTTGTCTTCTTTAACATGAGTTTGAGATGTATAGGTGATCAGGTTTCTTAATATGTTAATTCAGAGGTTCTCTTCTAATTTAATGCAATACAGTTTTTCCTTCTTTCTGTATGTATATTTCTAGAACATGTATAAAATTTCTTTTTAAAAAGAATTATTCAAGTAATATTTTAAAATATTTTTTTAAAGCATATATATTATTAAAATTTTAGAAACCAAGAGATGAAAAAAGAATTCTATGGAGGTGGGTCCCTTTCAGGTCATTTTTCATTTTTTATATTACTTAGCTGCAGTGAATATATTTATACTTGTGCCTTTTCCACAGTTTAAAAAAAATTTACTTAGAATAAATACTTTTATTAGATTACATTTCCAGAAATGGAATTATAGCTCTTCCTTAGCTTACAATGGTGATTCATTCTGATAAATCTGTTGTAAGTTGAAAGTGCATTTATTTATTTATTTTTTAATTTTAAAAGGTTTTATTTATTTGAGAGAAAAAGAGAGCATGTGCACAAGTGGTGGGTGGAGTTAAGAGGGAAAAGCAGACTCTCTGCTGAGCAGAGAGCCTGATGCGATGCTAAAAATGTCATTTAATACAACTAGCCTACTGGACATCATAGCTTAGCCTAGCCTACCTTAAGCAAGCTCAGAACACTTATATTAGCCTACAGTTGGGCAGAATCATCTAACACAAGTCCTATTTTATAATAAGGTTGACTATCTCATGTAACTTATTGAATACTATACTGAAAGTGAAAAAGAACGGCTGTTTGGGTACAGGATGGCTGTAGGTATAATTGGTTGTATACCTTTGTGATTGAGTGGCTAACTGAGAACTGTGGCTTGCTGCCACTGCCCAGTATCACAAGAGATTATTACACAGCACATTGTTAGCCTGGGAAAAAATAAAAATTCAAACTTTGAAGTATAGTTTCTACTGAATGCATATTGCTTTGGCATTATAGTAAAGTTGAAAAATCATAAGTTGAACTGTCATAAGTTGGTGACCATTTGTACTTAGTTAAAACTGTTCTGTGACTCTCAATACATATCAGAGTGAAAAATATCAGTCCATTAATTTTTACTTATTACCATAGTTAAATATTTTTCTGTATTTGTATATTTTCAATATCTTTATTCTCTAAAGTACCTATTTTCTCTTTTCTATGGAATTTTCATATGTAGGTGATGTAATAAAACCTAGAGTTGATGCTAAATTTGTTGTTTTAAATTTTTTATCTTTATATTTTTAGTAGAAAATTTGGTATCACCTAATTTCAAAAGTTTTGTACTTGAAAATTATGGAATTTATATGGACATACTCTTTATAATTGTATCTTATATGCTGTAGGTCTAAAGGACCTGGGAATACTACATTTTTCCTGATTTTTTTTTCCAGATTGAAGAAGGTATTGTTGTAATGGAAGATGATTCTCCAGTGGAAGCTGTGAGCACACCTAATACTCCCCGAAACCTTGCTGCATGGAAAATTAGCATTCCATATGTAGACTTTTTTGAAGATCCTTCCTCTGAAAGGAAAGAGAAAAAAGAGAGAATACCTGTGTTTTGTATTGATGTCGAAAGAAATGATAGAAGAGCAGGTAGGAAGCTTTATGAAAACCTTTTTTAAATTAACGTATAATGTTATTTGCCCCAGGGGTCTAGGTCTGTGAATCAGGCTTACACGTTTCATAGCACTCACCATAGCACATACCCTCCCCAGTGTCCATCACCTAGCCACCTTATCCCACCCTACACCCTCCAGCAACCCTTAGTTTGTTTCCTGATACTAAGAGTCTCTTATGGTTTGTCTTCCTCCCAATCCCATCTTGTTTCATTTTTCCCTCCCTACCCCCAACAACCCTGCACTCTGCCCCTCAAATTCCTCATATCAGAGAGATCATATGATAATTGTCTTTATCTGATTGACTTATTTCACTTAGCATAATACCCTGTAGTTCCACCCACATCATTGCAAATGGCAAGATTTTGGTTTTTTTTTTTTTTTTTTTTAAAGATTTTATTTAATTATTTGTCAGAGAGAGAGAGGGAGAGAGAGCAAGCACAGGCAGACAGAATGGCAGGCAGAGGGAGAAGCAGGCTCCCTGATGAGCAAGGAGCCCGATGTGGGACTCGATCCCAGGACGCTGGGATCATGACCTGAGTCAAAGGCAGCTGCTTAACCAACTGAGCCACCCAGGCGTCCCAAGATTTTGGTTTTTTGATGGCTGCGTAGTATTCCATTTTTTATACACACACACACACACACACCCCACATTTTCTTTATCCATTCATCTGTTGATGGACATCTAGGTTTTTTCCCATAGTTTGGCTATTGTGGACATTGCTGCTGTAGATGTTGGGGTTGCAGGTACCCTTCAGATCACTACATTTGTATCTTTGGGGCAAATCCCTAGTAGTACAATTGCTAGGTCATAGGGTAGCTCTATTTTTAACTTTTTGAGGAACTTCCATACTGTTTTCCAAAGTGGCTACACCAGATTGCCTTCCCACCAGCAGTGTAAGAGGGTTCCCCTTTCTCTGCACCCTCGCCAACACCTGTCATTTCCCGACTGGTTAATTTTAGCCATTCTGACTGGTGTGAGGTGGTATCTCACTGTGGTTTTGATTTGTATTTCCCTGATGCTGAGGGATGTTGAGCACTTTTTCATGTGTCTGTTGGCCATTTGGATGTCTTCATTGGAGAAATGTCTGTTCTTGTCTTCTGCCCATTTCTTAATTGGGTTATTTGTTTTTTGGGTGTTGAGTTTGATAAGTTCTTTATAGATTTTGGATACTAGCCCTTTATCTGATATGTCATTTACAAATATCTTCTCCCATTCTGTCAGTTGTCTTTTGGTTCTGTTGATTATTTCCTTTCCTGTACAAAAGCTTTTGATCTTGATGAAATCCCAATAGTTCATTTTTGCCCTTGCTTCCCTTCCCCTTGGCGATGTCTCTTAAAAGATGTCAATTACTCTGTATTTATCAGGAATGATAAAGATTTTTCCATTTCTAACTTTTAAGTGTGACTGCACTTCCAAAAGCTAAGTGTCTGAACAGAAAGTTCAGTGAAAGCTTAGGATTTTCTAGGTTATCTCTAGTACCACTTAGCTAATTAATTTGTTCAGACAACACATACTGAGTAGATGCATTTGAACATGTTGACAATGCAACAAGGCATTTTGTGTAATGTTCTTTTAATGGTTTTGCTGCCATCATCATTAGCCATTACACTTAATTGACGAGGAGTAACGCGTAATAGCAATGTATCAGGTATTATACCAATTTTGTTAAGACAGCATTTCTCCTCTGTTGTTGTGGGCTAATTAGAATTTATAAAAATATGATAAAACACAGTGTGATCATTTTTCCTCATATTTTGCTATCTTTTTTCTTTTAGTAGTTTAGGTGTGACCTAAGAGAGAAGGGGGTAAATAGCATCCATAACAAGATAACTGTCACCACCCTGGGTTTTGTCCAAGAAGTGGGGGCATTCAGTGTAAGCAAAAGCAAATCAAAGTTGTCCACATGTTGGGAATGTTAGACAGAAAAATGTAGTTGAGCTTAGGAAGAGGGAACTGTCTTGTAAAAGAAGGAAAAAAGTGGCAGTGTTAGGGAATGGTTTTGAGAGACGAGTGACTAAGTACTAACATGAAGGTGAGTGCTAATAATTTCCCTTGTTTTTTGTTTTTTTTTTTAAATAGGTTTTTAAAATTTTTCTTAGAAGCTAATCCTATATCAGGAAATAAAACATAGGATTAGGAAAGGAAGAATGCTTGAAGTAGCTGTCTGTGATTTTTCCTGTTATAACTAGGTACCAGACAGGGTCTTGCTCTGTCCAGCCAAGAGTCAGTGCTGCTTGATTTTGCTTTTGTTGCCATTCAGTCTTACCTGTTGCTTTACTAGCTGTGTTCTAATAAGCGTAGAGATAAACCATTGTTGATACTATAGTCTGATTTCAGTTTCAGACATAGTTTTTTGTACGTATCTTTGTCTGCTGTTTCTACTGATTGGCATGTTAAGTGTCAGAAAGAATTGAAAAGAAATACTGTAGTTTCTGGGTTCAGCTACTTTTGTGCCTAGTATTTGAAGTCTGGCTTTTCCCACACTGTTCTCGTTTCTCAGGAAATTATTTTAAACTTGACTCTTCAGATATAAATTCCTATCATTATAAGTAAATTTATGTGAGCATGTAACACAACCTTTTCAAAGGTTTATATATGATAAACTTTTAAATATACTTTGTTTTTGTCTTTTGGACAGACATTATTAATTTTTATGCTTTATTTTTAGAAGTTTTCCTTAAAAATTTAACCATATAAAGTTTAAGCCAAAAAAATCTTAAAACTAAGGATTATTTTTCTCAACAGTGCTGTAGACTTTGACTGTCAATGTAATGTGCTTTTAGGAAGTTATGGCCCATGAGGGAAAAAAAGTGCATCATTTATATACTGTGTTGACTTTATAGTGTAGCAAAATAACAATTTTAGGATTTTGAAAAACAAAACTAATAAATATGATGTAGATCTTTTAAGACCAGTGTTGAAGAAGAAGAATTCAGTTTCCTTTTAGATTGTGACTATATCATGTTTTTTCCTTTTTAAAGCTTTTATTTATTTATTTGAGGGAGAGAGAGACTGAGCAGACTGAGCATGAGCAGGGGAAGAGGCAGGGGAGAGAGAAAGGGAGAGGCAGGCTCCCTCCTGAGCAAGGAGCCTCATGCAGGGCTCTATCCCAGGGCCTGGGATCATGACCTGAGTTGAAGGCAGATGCCGCCCAGGTGCCCCATCATGTTTTTTTCTAAATACAGGCTTTGTTTTTGGGTTATTGTGATTTTGGTTGACTTTATACATTGCATTTCCAAATCTGTGCTAGAATGACATTAGATGCTAACAATAGCGGTTAACATTTTTGAGGTGCTTACTCTCTGCCATGCAGTCTACAGAAGTGATTTACCTGGATTATTTTATGTAAAGGGTACAATTATTTTTATTCTAAGCAACTGAAGGCACAATGAGGTTAAGTTATTTGTTCAAGTTCACTTAGTAAACGGGGGAACTGGGGTTGGAATAGGTGGTTTGACCCAACTCATTCTGTAAACCATTACTTTGTACTATTCAGTTTGGTAGCCACTAGCCACATGTATAAGTGAAAATTAAATTATATTAAAATTTTCGTTCCTTACACTAGCCACATTTCAAATGATCAGTAACTACATGTGTTTATAGTTACTGTATTAATGCAGATAATATAAACCATTTTCAGAATTGCAAAAAGTTTTGTTGGATAGTGCTGTTCTGTACTCTTTTAGATCTGGACAATTGGTAAAGATTTGAGAGACCCAAAATTGATTATAAGGTTTTTTGAAATATATTATTTATTCTGTGACATTTTAAAAATTAATAATAATTGCATTATTTTTTGAAATTTGTCAGCTGTATGATTCTGTTATAGAAAACTATTTGTTACTGAGATAACTTCATAAATAGGTAAAAATTATCAATTTCTTAAGAAATTTAAAATTAAAATATGGGATAAAATATATTGATGTGATGTTAAGAAATAATAAATTAAGACTGGCATAATTTTTAATAGTAGTTTATAAAATTATTTATTACTTACTGTGTATTCATTCCATTTACAGTTGGGCATGAGCCTGAACATTGGTCTGTCTATAGAAGATACCTAGAATTCTATGTACTTGAATCAAAACTAACAGAATTTCATGGTATGTTGTTTTTGTATAAAGTGCTACATTTTAGCATTAGCTTTCTTGAAGAAGCTATTGACCTAGATTACGTTTTTTTTTATTTTAAGTAATTATATCAAGAAAATGTAACAGTGACACTTGCGTACACTGCTATTCATAATAGGAAAGTACTGTTTTTAACTTATTTCTGGCTTATTTTTTAAAAGTTTTTACAATGCACATTTATTGCTTTTTATTTTTTATTTATTTTTATTAAAAAAATTTTTTTTTAAGATTTCATTTATTTACTTGACAGAGATCACAAGTAGGCAGAGAGGCAGGCAGAGAGAGAGAGGAGGAAGCAGGCCCCCTGCAGAGCAGAGAGCCAGACGTGGGGCTCGATCCCAGGACCCTGGGATCATGACCTGAGCTGAAGGCAGAGGCTTTAACCCACTGAGCCACCCAGGCTCCCCCATTTATTGCTTTTTAAATAATATTAAAATTTAAAAGATAGCTATTCTTTAAATGTATTTTAGAAAAGATTCTTTTTCCAGTTGAATTTTTGTTTATCTCAATGTGACAGAGAATTTAAACCAGGAATTTCAGAGTTGCTCTGTTCTTTCACCATTTTTCTTGATAAACATGTTTGCTTTGCATCAGTGCAAATGTTTTGATTTAGCTCTTAGATTTGGAAATAAAACTTGTAGAGTAATATTTCCTTTTAAGTTAGATCAGTCAGAAAAGGGGAACACTTTTCTTTTTAGTTCTTCCCCTCACCTTTTAGTCTCTCTTATCCATTATTTTAGTTAATGTCAGGGATGTAGTTACAAAGTATTTACAGTCATTTTGTATGTAGATTTGTGTATATTTCTGTATTCATTTATTTATGAGACAGAGTACAAGTGAGCACATTAGGTGGGGTGGGGAAGGGGCAGAGGGAGAGTGGGGGAGAGAAAGAGAATTTTAAGCAGGCTCCATGCCTAGTGTGGAGCCTGATGTGGGGCTCGATCTCACAATACTGAGATAATGACCTGAGCCAAAGTCAAGAGTCAGACATTAAGCTGACTGAGCCACCCAGGCACCCATGAATCTTTATTTTAGAGAAGCTTTATGGAGTGTCCCTGATTCAAATTTAGGTTGGTTCTGAATTGAGAAGGACTGGACAGGACCTTTTTTACCCTTCTTTACTAAAAGCAAAACCCATGATGAGGAGATTACTATAGGATGTTAAAAAATACAAATTTGCATTCCAAACTCTTTGCTTAGATTTTGAATCGTACTTGTCTTTAAATGGTTTTCTCTTTAGGGTGCCTGAGTGGCTCAGTTGGTTAAGTGTCTGCCTTTGGCTCAGGTCATGATCCCAGGGTCCTGGGATGAGGTCCCGCATCTGGCTCCTTGCTCAGTGGGAAGCCTGCTTCTCCCTCTGCCTGCTGTTTGTGCACTCTCTTCCTGCTTGTGTGCTCTCTCTCACACACATAAATAAAATCTTTAAAAAAAAATGGTTTTCTCTTTGTCTCTGCCAATCTTAAGCAGTACCATCCTTATCTCCTATCTCTGAGAACTTTTCCCTTGGATTGAGAGAAGACCTATAATCAGACTTTAAAGCCCTAGATCAACCGAAGTTGGATTCCCAATAATATTTTCCTTTTTGGTATTTAAATTTCTGAAGTCAGCCCTGTTTGAGAAAGCATGTCCATGGTTTGTTTGTTTTTTTTGTTGTTGTTTTAAAAAAATTTTTTTTTTAATTTGACAGAGAGAGAGAGAAACAGAGGGAGTGGGGGGAGGGGCAGAGGGAGAGAGAGAATCTGAAGCAGGCTCCTTGCCCAGTGTGGAGACTGATGTTGAGCTCAGTCTCATCACCCTGAGATCATGACCTGAGCCAAAACCAAGAGTTGGATGCTAAACCAACTGAGCCACAAGGCGCCCCATGTCCATGATTTTTAAACTTTGTTTTTAATCCTGTGTTTAATCTTGTGTAGTATTAGCAACATGCTACCTTTTTTTTTCCCATGAGAGAATAGGTATTTTTCTTTGTAAGATTTTGTCTCATTGAATCCCACAGTCTTCAAAATAATCTCATGGTATTTTTTTGAGGCTTTTTTACTAGTAGTATAGAATGCTTAAATAAATCCGTGTCAAAATAGTTGGTGATCAGTTTGGTTATTAGTAGACTCAGGTTCTTGGGTCTAGACTTCTGACTTGAAGCTTATGGATTTTTCAGGATTAATTAATTATGTAATTTACGTTAAAAAAAGATTTTATTTATTTACCTGGCAGAGCGTGAACAGGGGGAGCAGCAGAAGGAGAGGGAGAAGCAGACTCCCCACTTAGCAGGGAGCCCAATGCGGGGCTTGATCCCAGGACCCTGAAATCATGACCTGAACCAAAGGCAGGTGCTTAACTGACTGAGCCACTCAGTTGCCCCTTGTCCAGGTTATTTAAAAGATAATGCCTCATCTCTATAAGAGGGAGCATTATGAATCTGAATTTGCTGTAGTAAATTATAAATTAGGTTTCTAAAGTAGTAGTAGAACGTAGTAATAACTTTCATATATATTAATTTCAGGCACATTTCCTGATGCCCAGCTTCCTTCCAAAAGGATCATCGGCCCCAAAAATTATGAATTCTTAAAGTCAAAGAGAGAAGAGTTTCAGGAATATTTACAGGTACAATACCAACTCAGTTTAAAAAGTTACTAATCATACAGCTATCTGATTTGTCTTTTTTTCTCTTGTGTATATATATTTTGTTTTACAGATACCTGTCAGTGTGGGTTTCTAAAATTCTTTTAAGATAGTTTTTTCATGTGAAAATGAATTATTATGAAAAGTACTTTTTAGGGGTTCCTGGATGGCATAGTCGGTTAAGCATCCAACTCTTGATTTCAGCTCCGGTCATGATCTAAGGGTTATGAGATCGAGTCCTATGTCAGGCTCCACAGAAGCTTGTTTAAGATTCTCTCTCTTTCCCTCTACACCCCCCACTTCTGCTTGTGCACTCACTCTCCCTAAAAAAAAAAGAGTATACTTTTTGAAAAAATTGGTGACCAATGAAATACCAGATATTTCTTAGAAGAAAAATTATATGTTGGGTTTAGTTTAAAACTTTCGGCACGAGAAGATAAAGAAAAAAACTTGTGTAAGATGAAATGCATTCTAAGTATACTGGGTAGTTTTTTTTGTTGTTCTTATCTTTTAAAAAAAAAATTAGTATTTTTTTAAGTAATCTCTACCCAAAATGTGGGATTTGAACTTAAAACCCCAAGATGAAGAGTCACATACTCTACTGACTAAGCCAGCTAGGTGTCCCTTTTGTCTTGTTTTCTGTTTGATTTTGTGTTTAGCACTTCTGAACTTGTGAATCTTCCCTCCCATTTTATTCCTCAGTTTTTTTTTCTTTTGCAATTTGTAGATGTTTTTCTGGTTTCTTGGGATCTCCTGATTCTCTACCAGTCACCACTTGGAATTGAATTTTTTTTCGGTGTGTGCACAGTGTTATGTAAACAATGTAATTGGTATGTTATTTCCATTGTTAGTACAGTCAGCCAAAATCAAGAGTGGGACGCTTAACTAAAATTGATTTAGACTTCTTTAAAATTAATGACCATCTTTCTTTATTTAATGAAGTGCCTAAGACCAAAAAGCGGTTACTTTTTTGTTGTTAAAAAAAATCTTTTTTTATTTGGACACAGAATTTTGTAGATTTTATTAAGTGTTAATTTAGCCAAACTTGGATGCCTTCTTGCCCAAAATAAGTACTTTTTAAATTAAAAACTATCATCAGTGTAAAGGGATATTTATATTTTATATTTTGTATTTGAACAGTCGAGTGCTTCAACCCAGAAAATATTTGTTACATAATTTTTTGGTATAACTACTGCAAGGATATTTGAACATTGTATATAGAAGTGTTAACCTTTGCCTTTGTTTGTACCATTAACCCATTATTTGAATGAGCTAAATCTTTCTAAGGACTAGAGTACCACCTTCTAGAAGAGTATTTTCTGGTGATACAGAGCTTAAGGTTGCAGTTACTGGTATTTCATTTACACAAATTTCTGCCCATAAAGTTTTCTAACTGTTTCAAGTTACAAAACAATATTAGGTAAGACTGAGTTAATTTTGGCTTTAAAAAGTCAGTTTATCTTGTAAGAAAGTAGTGTTGCAAGAAGAACAGACAACAGATTTTCCAAATTATTTCACATGTTATGCATTTAGTTTCCTGCAAAACCCTTTGTGTCAACGTCTTTTAATTATCAAGAAAGTTATATGATATTGTAGTATTTGTTTTATAGTTGAGAAACAGAAACAATGTTAGCTAGTGTTTCATCTTCCTTCCTGTGTATCAGGTACTATGTTAAATGCTTTATATTACAACCCTGTAAAGTAAGTAGCATTTTCATCTTACATGTAAGGAAACTCTTAAGTAATTTAGGAACTTAGTTTCTAGGGACACTTCATTGGTAAGTGGAAGAGCTGGAATTCAAACCTTTTCATGTCTGACTATAGAGACTGAGGTCTTAGCTGCTGTGCAATACTATTCTTTCTACAAATGTAGCTTTTTTATTCTGAATATAAAATAGCTTTTGAGGATTAAAAATTTTTTTTGTTGTTCTTATCATTGTAATATTAGCTTTGATGATACTTTTGAGATTTCCTACCCCCCCCCTCTTTTTTTCTTTTTTTCATTCAAGAAACTTCTGCAACATCCAGAACTGAGTAATAGTCAACTTCTGGCAGATTTTCTCTCTCCCAATGGTGGGGAAACACAGTTTCTTGATAAGATACTACCAGATGTAAATCTTGGTAAGTCAGTTTAAAGAATCGTGTATATGAGGATAAACTGAAAATAATCAGCATTTTAGATTAATGTAGAGGAATAGTTTTATATAATGAAGCCATGTGTCAAATTCTAACACACTTCTTATATACTGTTAGTAGGAATATAAATTGGGAACTACGTGGAAAAATAGTTTGGTATGAAACTGAATGACTTAGCAGTCCCTCTCTGAAATACGTACTGTAGAGACTCTTTTATTCATATTGAAGAATGTTCATAGCATCATTGTTTTATAGCCAAACCTAGAAAAATGTTCATTACCAGTAGATCAGCAGATAAATTGTGATAGATTCATAAAATGAATACCTATAGCATGTAGCTATTTGCAACAAGATTGATAATCTTAAAAGCATGGTGTTGAATGAAAGAAGCAAGACACAGAAGAATATATACAGCATGATTTCGTTTTTATAAAGTTCAGTATAGACCACAGTAATAAGGAAAGCAGGAAAAGTTTGAATAAAATTGTTAAAGATAATAATGGAAGTAAAATAGTATTTCTAAGTATATTTTATATAATATAGTCTTAAGTACATATAGAACTAAACAAATGAATTAAATATTACAAATGGGCCTTTGGCTTTCATTTGTATCTCTTCAAATTAATACATTTAGTTGAGCCAGAATACATGGTGTTTGTGCATGGAGGTTTTCTTATCAGGGGAAAATGCGAGGACATTTTATATTTGGTTATGTATGGTATTTAGGAGACAGAATTGGGTAGACATGGTTGGTTGCTGACTAGTTTAGACTGAAGGAGAAGAAATGATCAAAGATGACCCAGGTTTCTATTTAAACAATTGAAGGGATGCTGTTACTTGATGAGATAAGGAATAAATTGAGAGCAGTTCTGAACTTGTTGAGTTTACAGAATCCAGTTAAAGAAGATTTGTAAGGCGGGGAGGCCAGGAGATAGGCAAGGAGTAGAGATTTGAGTGTTATTTGAAATCAGATTGAGCAATAAAATTGGCTCAAGGAAGAGCATGTAGAAGAGACAGAAAAGAACAGGATGAAGAAGCTCTGTAGTTTAAGGAACTTGGAAAATTCTTTTTTTTTTTTTTTTAATTTATTTATTTGAGAGGGAAAGAGTGAGCAGAGGGAGGGGGAGAGAAAGAATCTTCAAGTAGACTCCCTGCTGAATGGGGAGCTTGACAGAAGGGTCGATCCCAGGACCCTGTGGTATGACCTGAGCGAAAATCAAGAGTCAGATGCTTAACCGACTGAGTACCCTGGTGCTCCAGGTTGTTGGGGAATTCTAAGGAAGCAGCCATAGTTTATAGGGGTAGCAAAGGAAAAATAGTATGATGGGAGAGGGTTGGGTGGTTTTCATGTTGTAAAACAATCTCCCATTTTAATTTGTTATTATGTCTCCTGCTATTGCTGTAAGTCTACTTTTTTCTCAGTTGAACTGCAAGAAATTTTAAGTTACATTTATCAATTTTGACTAATTTTTACAGGCATCTCTAATGTTTGAGAAAATCTCAAGATGTTTGATATTTTAAAATAAGGGAACCTAGAGATAAGATCAAGAAGAAATTTTGGCAGGGCGCCTGGGTGGCTAAGTGGATTAAAGCCTCTGCCTTCAGCTCAGGTCATGATCCCAGGGTCCTGAGATAGAGCCCCACATTGGGCTCTCTGCTCGGCAGGGAGCCTGCTTTCCCTTCTCTTTCTGCCTGCCTCTCTGCCTACTTGTGATCTCTGTCTGTCAAATAAAATCTTAAAAAAATTTTTTTTGGCATACAGGATTAGAATATGTATTCTTTTTTTTTTTTTTTTTTTTTTAAAGATTTTATTTATTTATTTGTCAGAGAGAGAGAGGGAGAGAGAGCAGGCACAGGCAGACAGAATGGCAGGCAGAGGGAGAAGCAGGCTCCCTGATGAGCAAGGAGCCCGATGTGGGACTCGATCCCAGGACGCTGGGATCATGACCTGAGCCGAAGGCAGCTGCTTAACCAACTGAGCCACCCAGGCGACCCCTAGAATATGTATTCTTAATCTAAAACTCAGAATATAAGCTTACTTACATAGTCAATGTGGGGTTTTTTTTTTCCTTAATTTTAGAGAGAGAGAGAGAGTGCGAGTGGAGGGGAGGGGCAGAGGGCGAGGGAGAGAGAGCATCTCTTAGGTGGGCTGCATGCTGAATGTGGAGCCTGACATGGGGCTTGTTGTCATGACCCTGAGATCATGACCTGAGCCAAAATTAAGAGTTGGACACTTGACCAACTGAGCAACGCATGTGCTCCCTAAATAGCCAATGTAAATGTTGTAGCAGTTCTTAAAACCTTTTTGACTAACTTTGCATGCTTTTAGGTATCTTTATATATTCATTATTGTTTAAAATCTTTTGAAAACATTTCTTATGGAAAATTTCAAATATACACAAAAGTAGAGAATTTTATATAATAAATTTCTCATTCTGTTTTAGCTGTTCCAACACTTGGCTTGTTTAGTCCCCTCTACCCCCCACCCCAATCCCACTGTATTATTTTAAGTAAATCCTAAATGTTATATCTATAAATAGTTAAGAATACCATATTTATTATAAATTTCTATTGAATGTGAAATGGTAAATTATTAATTTTTTACTTTTTACTTGGCTGTTTAGTATTTAAAATTACCCAGTGAAGGGGCACCTGGGTGGCTCATTTTGTTAATAATCTGCCTTTGGCTCAGGTATGATCCCAGGGCCCTGGGATTGAGCACCACATTGGGAGTGGGGGTGCTCAGCAAGGAGTCTTCTTCACCCTCTCCCTCTCCCTGCTGCTCCCCCTGATTGTACTTTATGTCTCTCTGTCAAGAAAATGAATAAAAGCTTTAAAAAAAAAATTACCTAGTGAAGTATACATGTAAGTAATTCTGAGATACATTATACCTTCATAAAATTAATATTTTATTTTTAATTGCAGGGAAAATTATAAAGTCTGTTCCTGGAAAACTAATGAAAGAGGTAAATAACTGATTTATGTATATTCTGTAACATGATAGTTATAAGCACATCTAAATATCAGTGAACTTTAATGGGTTATATGATTATTAAAAATCATAATCTTGAGTTTTTATTTTCATATCATGATTTCTGTATCACAACAGAAAGGTCAGCATTTGGAACCTTTCATCATGAATTTCATTAATTCTTGTGAATCTCCAAAGCCTAAACCGAGTAAACCGGAACTGACTATTCTCAGCCCTACTTCAGAAAACAACAAGAAGGTAGTGTGTCTTGCCTTAGAATCATGAAGTTTGAAGTTGTCCTACTTGAGACTTTTCCATTATAGGGAATGTTGGTGTTAATGAAATGAATGGGACTTATATCTTTTATGTGAAAATCAGTTGTGCAGTTAAAGAGGGTATTCTAAGCTGCCTCTTTAACAGGTGAGTGTTTCTTTCGCTAATGGTATTTGTAAACTTCTGCCATTTCTGTATTTGGGGGATATTTTTAAGGTGGTTTTCTTAGGTTGTAAATCAACAACAGCCAATACTCAAATTAATTGATACAATGTATTTATATTGATTTGATGTTTATTTTATCTCATTTCAATGGCTTATGTAGTATTTAATCCATTCATTATGCAGGTGTATTATCGTGATTATTGTATTATTATATATATTATGGATAATATATATATTATCCATAATATATATATTATATTATTATATTATATTATATATGAGTGCAAGGCACTAGAAAATGAAGATACATTTCCAGTTTGCAGGAAGCTCACTTTAGGGATTCCTGGGTGGCTCAGTCGGTTAAGTGTCTGCCTTTGGCTCAGGTCATGATCCCAGGGTCAAGTTGTCCATGGGGCTCCTTGCTCAGTGGGGAGTCTCCTTCTCTCTCTGCCTGCTAGTCCCCCCTGCCTGTGCTATGTCTGGCACTCTCCCTCTCTCTCTGTCTCTCTGACAAATAAATAAAATGAAATTAAAAACAAAGGATGTTCACTTTAGTTCCAGAATAGTGCTTAGCATGGGGAGCTGTTGAGCTCAAAGGCTAGCCCTCCCCCTTCCTGCAAAGCCTCACCTTTTTGTTATTACTATAAAAGATATTTTTCGTGTTTTTTCCACTTTATAACTTCCTTTTTGGTAAACAAATAGTTAATTTTTGTGTATTGATTTTTTAAATTCAATAGCCTTGCTAGACTTGTATTAATTTTAGTAATACATCTATTAATTCTTTTAGATTTGCACACTTATATGCAAATGATGGTTTTGTTTCTCATGGCTATGAACTACTATACAAAGGGCATGATTTCAGTGTTTCACCATTAAACCATATAGCATAACATAGCTTTTTTCATAGATATTCTTTATAAATAAGGGTAAGGAAGTTTACATTCCTGTTTGTGGGTGGCCTTGGCCTGTAATTTTTCTTTCTCGTTCTATCTTTGTCACATTCTGGTATCAGTTACATTAACCTTTTTCTGTTTGCTGGTAAAGTTATAATTGGAATTAGTAGTTCTTTAAATAATTGGTAGAACTGGTTGTTAAAGTCACCTAAGCCTTGAGTTTTGTTTATAGGAAGATTTTTTAAAAAGCCAATTTAATTTCTTTAATGAATGTAGTATTCTTCACATTTGTTGTGTGAGTCAGTTTTTTGCCTCCAAAGATTTTATTTATTCACCTGAGAGAGAGAGAGAGAGAGAGAGAGGGTGTGTGTGTATGTGTGTGAGAGCTTGGGGAAGAACAGGGAGAGGCACAAGCAGACTCCCGAGCTGAGTGTGGAGCCTGATGCAGGGCTTGATCCCATGACCCCAAGATCATGACTTGAGCTGAAACCAAGAGTCAGGGCCAATCATCTGAGCCACCCAGGTGCTGCCCCAAAATGAGTCAGTTTTGATAGGTTTTATATATATATATATTTTTTTTTTTAAAGGAGGGGGAGGGGCAGAAGGAGAGGGGGAGAGAGAGAGAGAGAGAATCTTAAGCAGGTTCTACACCCAGCTTGGAGCCTGATGCAGGGTTCCATCTTACAACCGTCAGATCGTGACCTGAGCCAAATCAAGAGTTAGACCCTTAACCAGCTGAGCCACCTAGACACCCCAATAGGTTATATTTTTCAATACATTTTTTTATTCTATCTTAATTTGAAATTTTTTTGGCCTAAGGTTGTTTTTTTCTGACATCTGTAGCTATGTCCCTTTGATTTTTTAATATTATTTCTGTCTTTTTCTTTTTTTTTCTTTTGATCTGTCTTGCCAAAGATTTTGTCCTTTTCATCTTTTGACTTGTTGATCTTTTCTGTCAAACTTTAGTTCCTTGATTTCTGCTATTTTATTATTATTACCAATAATATACTTTTTTGCATATCCTGGGAGTAAGTAGGGCTGAGGTTTAGTTGCACTTCATCGTTTTTCACTATAAGTAATTTTCTACATCTTGTTTTCACACTGATTAGGCATTTCTGGACTGTGACTATTATTGTCCAAATAAATTTTGGTTAAAGCTAAGTGTTCACATCTAAACACCCTTTAATTGTGGATTATAATTTGTTAAGTCATGTTAGTTTTAAAATTAGCTGTCATCAATATATTTACACATCTTTACATGTTCATTTGCTCCTTTTGGTGTTCAAAAAAAGAGTTTCTACATGAATAATGAATTTCCTTTGTGTCTAAATTTCCTTGTGTCTAAAATTAATGCAGACTTTTGTATACTATTTTGGGAGGAATATGTATTTTTTATTCGATTTTGGGCATAAACATGAAACTTTAGAGGCAGAGCTTAATCTATCCAGTAATTCTGTTTGATTGGAAAAGTGTAAGTGCCTGTGCTCCGTTCATGTTAACTTTAGTGATTGTTACCATCAGGTGTAATAAACTATTTATCTCTTTATTACTTCAATTTTTACATTAGCTTTTCAGTGATCTGTTTAAGAATAATGCAAACCGTGCTGAGAATACAGAAAGAAAGCAAAACCAGAATTATTTTATGGAGATGATGACTGTAGAAGGAGTCTATGATTACCTGATGTATGTAGGTAGGTAAGATACATGTGGTTACTGCAAAGACCTATTTTTCATTTATGTATCATTTCTTCTGTGATACAAATTAATGCTCTTCACTATTGTCCCATTGTAACTTCTTTTTAAATTGAAGATACTTCTTTTATAAGAATTTTATATAATTGGGTCTTGAACATACTAAATTTACTAATGTTTACAAATAAAATAATGACTGTTTATGGTTTTTTATACTGGAGAATGTTTGGAATATCTGTTTATCTTAACAAAATATTCCATATGATCCTTCTCAGGACGGGTGGTCTTCCAAGTTCCTGACTGGCTTCATCATCTCTTAATGGGAACTCGAATCCTGTTTAAAAACACTCTGGAAATGTACACTGACTACTATCTTCATTGTAAACTAGAACAACTGTTCCAGGAGCACCGTTTGGTCTCACTCATAACACTTCTCAGAGGTTTGTATTTTGTCATGTGTTTGTTTCATGTTTAATGTGCTTTTGTGTCTTGCTTTTCATTGGTTTACTAGGATTTCTGCAATGAAGTAATTTGTAACAGGTAAAAATTCTAGCGAATATTTTTTTGTCTCTTTTTAGATGCTGTATTCTGTGAAAACACTGAACCTCGCTCTCTCCAAGATAAGCAAAAACGAGCAAAACAGACTTTTGAAGAAATGATGAATTACATTCCAGGTATAATATTTAAGTAGTTTAATATAGACTAGCATTTCTTTGAGATCACAATGTATAGCAATTTTCTTTTAAGATTTTATTTGGAGAGGACGCCTGGGTGGCTCAATTGGTTGGGCGACTGCCTTCGGCTTAGGTCATGATCCTGGAGTCCTGGGATCGAGTCCCGCATCCAGCTCTCTGCTTAGCAGGGAGTCTGCTTCTCCCTCTGACTTTCCCCTTCTCGTGCTTGCTCTCTCTCTCTCTCTCTCAATCTCTCTCTCTCAAATTAATAAAATCTTAAAAAGATTTTATTTGGAGAGAGAGAGCAAGCACATAAGTTAGGGGAGGGGCAGAGGAAGAGGGAGAAAGAGAATCTCAAATTGCACCAAGTGTGGAGCCTGATGTGGGGCTCAATCTCAAAACTCCAGATCATGATCTGAGCTGAAATCCAGAGTTAGATGCCTAACCAGCTGAACCATCCAGGCACCCCACAAGGTATATTGGATTATTGAAACTAATTTTTACTTTGAGTTACCATTTTAGAAATAGTTAATAAAAACCAAGTAAAATTAACTCATTAGTTAATTAAATTTGGTTTTTATGATATAAGCACTATGAACTTTAAGAAAGGCTTTTGCTAATGCAGTAGCCAGATTATTGTAGCAGCCACTTATAATCAGACTGATGTAAGTGATACGTTTGTGGGACTATTGGAATCCTGCTACCCATTATGCTCTAGGAAGAACTACGATAGTGTTTATGAGTAAAATATCAGAATTAATTAATTCATTCTAAATTTACTGAGCACTTTCCACATGTCAGGCACTATGCGGAGAGCAAGGGCTATAAAAGTATACTTGAGTAGTTCCGTCTAGCAGGAAGACAGGTATACAGACAAAACATACATGTGATGGAAGCATGTTCAAGTCACAGAGTATCTCAGAGGAAGAGAATGATCACTTCCGTAAAGGAGGTAGGCTTGAGCCATAAGGTAAATGAATGGTAGTAACCTTTTATAGAGTGGGAAATACAAGGAAGAAAAAAATCAAAGGGGTCAAAGCAGAAGATACTTAGTTTAGAATATTTTGAGTGTGAATTGCCTGTACATTATTCAGGAGGAACTCTCTAATAAGGAGTTAGATATCCATCCAGGTTTTGAAATTAGAGAAACAAATGGTAAAAGATAGAGATATGGGAGTTATGTGTAATGGATAATCATGCCCAGAGAGAAAGTACAGAGTAGGACTTGAAGAGGCCTTTGGACTGTATCTTAGAGAATCCTCATCATTGAACAATTAGTCTCAGAATAGTCCTGTTGCTCTTTATGAAGATGGTTAAGTTAAATCCCTGATCTGAATATAAAAGTGAATAAAAGCTATTTTGGGCTAAGTCTTCTGTAGGTAAATGATGAAATAATTTCTTACCTGTTTTGTAACAGGAGCCCTTAGCATTCATGGCTTTAACAGTCTTAGTTTTGATATTAGAGACAACACAGAAGCCATGAATGTATTAATTTATTATTTTGCTGAGGCACAAATCTGAATCACATCTATTTAAAGACTTCTCTTTGGAAGGAGTAATTTAGTGAGTAAACTTAGCATGTTTTCCTGTTGTTCTCTACCCCTCATTTCTTACTCAGGGACTCGTAAAGGACCTGAAAGGATTACTTATTTTTGTCCATTATGCTCCATGCATCTTAACTGGGAAATTCTATGTAGTATTGCTGAATTAGAGGATTCATAAAGATCCGTATCAGGCTACATGTCTTGAAAATATCAAGGATCTGCTATGCTTATTATAAATTTAATTTGGCCTTTGCCTCTTAGGGTTAGATTTATCTCCTAGAAGCAAACATAAGGTGAAAACTTTTTAAGAACATAATTAATAGTTTTATTATGTTGGGGGGCAGGGGAAAGGACAAATATTTGAGCACTTTCTTTACTTAAGAATAATTTTATTTTCCTCTTCTGGGGAAAACATTCAGAGATTTTTTTTTAGTAAGGACTGACTCTTTGGTAAGAGAAATGATACATGACAGCTGTGCAATCAAACACGTATCAGAAATTTTTGGATCCTAAATTAGTGTTTAAACATTTCCCAAAAAGATCGTTCTGTAAGATGGTTAGTAATAATTACACAAAAAGTACAAAAGTAAATTCAAGAGGTCATAGTCATTGAGGAAAGTCAATGTTCAAAAATTAAGCTTCTTTTCTGATATTAAGATACTCAAACATTATGAAAAGTATTAGAATAAAAAATAGAAGCCATTTTCTCCCGAATCAGTTTGGTATTCATACTCACATTTTTCTGTGCATTTCTGTACATGTGTGTACAAATGTATACACAGACTTCTGGGATTTGATTTTATTTGTTTTACCTGAATGGGATAACATAATATGTATTATTTTCTAACTGTCTTTTATCATTTAATAGTATAAGTAGATTTCTTTATTGCAACATTCCTCAGAGCTTGTAGTATACTTTGTGCATTGTGAATCTCCAAAAGGGCGAGTTTCTTAACTTGACTGTAGAAGCCTTTTTTCTAGGAGCCCTTCGCAGAACACTAGTTTAGGAAATGCGGATTTATAGTTTTTGTGTAATATCTGGGAAACAGGGTGAAGATTTTGCTTTCTGGTTCAGTTAATGATGAGTCACCTTATAATGTAAAATGTTTCACATTTGGTTTTCTCTTTTAGATCTGATAGTCAAGTGTATTGGTGAAGAAGCCAAGTATGAAAGCATCAGACTTCTCTTTGATGGCTTACAACAGCCAGTTCTCAATAAGCAGGTAAAATTCATCAAAGTACGTTAACTAGTGTTGGCTAGGTTTTTTGAAGGACCCACAGTAGGGTGTCTGGTATATTATTAATTGTGAAGTGACACTACATTAAATCAAGACAGTGCACACCGGCCATTCAGATAGAAGAAAACACTATTTTACCTCTTACTCTTTTTTGCTGATTATTTTTTTAAATTAAATTTTCTGTTTTAATTTCAGTATAGTTAACATACAGTGTTGTATTAGTTTCACGCGTACATTATCATGGTTCAACAATTTTACACGTTACTCATTGCTCATCATGATAAGCACACTCCTTAATCCCTGTCACCTATTTCACCCATCCGCACACCCACCTCACCTGTGGTAGCCATCAGTTTGTTCTCTAGAGTTCAGAGTTGCTTTTTTTTTTCTCTTTATCACATGAGTTGTTTTGACTTAAACATAGATTCATCATATACAAAATTCATGAAATAAAGCAAAAATTTAAAAATTAAGAATTCCATCATTTAGATTACATAGAATAAAATATATATATAGTTCAGTCTGTACATATTTTGTTGAGATCTTTATAGTTAAAATTTTGTGTCCTGCTTGTGTCTTTAACATTTATGCAGCATAATAGTAAAATGTACACATATGAAGACATGTGTATCTGAGTTCTATTCCCAGCCTTCTCGTTTAGAGGTAACCACAGTCCTGAATTTTGTTCTTATCATTTTTATGGCTTTTATCTAATGCCTTAAAAATTTTTTTTCTTTTTTTTTGTGCTTTAGCTGACTTACGTTTTATTGGACATTGTGATACAAGAACTATTTCCCGAGCTCAGTAAGGTAATGGAGAAGCAGTAGTTTTATTCTTAATGTTTTTAATGATATGCTGACATCTTAATTAGGGACACAAAAATCAAGGAAACCCTTGTGGCTATGGTCCTTTTAAAAATAAACAGCCTTAATAAATGACTCCCTATATTTTCTTTTTTCATAGAGTTGGTTTTGGGGGGATCGGAAAGGAATAGCCTGTGTTTTGACTTTGTTCCTTCCTAATTATAAGCAGATAGGAACATTATACCCTGCAGAATCTTTCCAGAGGAAGGTGTAAGTTTAAATCCTAGCACTAGAAAGTTCCAAGCTCTTTAGGCTGTTCTCTGTCTGTAACACTGAAGGCTATAGAAGTTAGACTTGAGTGTTTTGGGGCAGTTGAGCTTACGTGAACCCAAGAGTACAAAATGAGTTGGAATTAGAGAATGGTAATAATATTATTGTATTGAATCTGGAGGGGGATATATATAAATCTCTATATATCTTTCTTAGGTTAGAAATGGAATCATTAGGCACTTCACAAATGAACCCTGTTTTGTTGTCTTCTATTAAGTAGATTTATTTCTACTTTTAGGTACAAAAAGAAGTTACCTCTGTGACTTCCTGGATGTAAGCATTTGGATTTGGGAAAGAATACCAGATAACAAATTTCTGCTGTGCTAGTGTAGTATTTTCTTTTACTTTTGTATATTCTTGTATATATCATGTAATCCAGTGTCTGAAATTTTGATTTTTTGTTTTAATAAAGACTAACACAGACTTAATAATGGTCACAAGTGATTGGGTTTCATAGTCTTTTTTTTTTTTTTTTTACCCATTTTCCAAATTTTATTAGAACATCTGTCATTTGTTATTGCCATTTTAAAAGAGATAATTCATAATCCTCTTAGGGCAAATGGATAAAACCAATACTCTTTGAATTCTATCACTTTGAAAATATTTACGTTTAGTATGGAGAAACAGGAGTAAGATCTGTTTTGCTTTCTTATTTAGAGTTAGTACATTTTAGTATATTTTTTTTCTTCTTATTCCTATTTTCTATATTAGTTAATTACATGCCTGTAAAGAAGACATTCTTTATGAGTTTTTCATAAGAAACAAAGGACTACTCCGTACTCTTTTTTGGATTGACAAGTTATAGCCCCTTTTAAGTGTGAACACTGACTACTTACAGATGTTTGTGATTGTGGGGTTGCAGTTGCATTTTATTGAATGAATGTTGTAGCCATATTCCAAAATCTTATGTAAACAGTTTAGTCAAGTAGATTTTTGGTTTATGTCTGTTGTCTCTCCACAAGGAAAATAATTGTATTTCTTGAGGAAAGTTAACTTAAAATTTTAGAGTCAATGTTCAGAATTGTACTCACAATTCCCTCCCACGCTCTTACTTTTCTCCTTGAAACAAATTTGTCTTTCAAGATTGAGAGTTTTGTATTTGCTAACTGATTGTAGCATTCATTTAGAATACACTTACTGAGTTTCAGCTATGTATTAGATACTAAGCTAGGTAATATGAAACTAAATACAATTTAGAAATTAACCTATTTAATACTATTCACTTATTTTTTTCCCAAGGTATTAAAAATGGTTATTAGGTATTACAATTTTTGAAAAGGCTTTGTTAGTAGTTTTTTATATTTTTAATTGCTTGAAAATTCTAGAATATATATGAGTTTCTGTGAATCAGTGCTTTAATACCAAGCCTTAAACATTTACTAATTTCTCAGGGATAGGTAGAAGATGAATCAGGTTAACTCTTCACATTTAAATCCATAGCATTTTAAACACTGTTATTTAAAATGTCCTGATAAACTGGAAAAATAAAATATTTTACAGCCCTTTTTATGCCATTCTTACCTACTGTCCTATAAATTGTGATATTCTCTTGATTTAGATGAGAAAAATGTTGTTAGGAGTGCATTATTCTACATGGGCTGCCATAACGAAATACCACAGACTGGGTGGCTTAAACAACAAATTTATTTCTCACAGTTCTGGAGGGTAGAAGTCCAAGAAGAGGTGCCGACAAAGTAGGTTTCATTCTGGGGCCTCTTCTTTTGGTTTGCATTTGGCCACCTTCTCACATGTGCCCCTGACCTCTTTGTGTAGGTGTGAGGGAAGAGAGAAGGAGATCTCTCGCTCTTCTTCTTATAAGGCCACCAGTCCTATTGGATTAGGGTTCCACTCTTATGATCTCATTTAACCTTGATAACCTCCTAAAGGACCCATCTCCAAATATGGAGAATTTTTGTGTTAAAGCAGTTTTGGGCTTCAACATTAGAGGTTTTTTTGTTTTGTTTTGTTTTGTTTAAGATTTTATTAATTTATTTGAGAGAGCATGAGTGGGGAGAGAGGCAGAGAGAGAGGAAGAAAGAGGGGGAGAAGCAGAATCCTTGAGGATCTGGGAGTCCAACATGGGACTCAATCCCAGGACTCTAGGATCATGACCAGAGCTGAAGGTAGATGCTTAATGGAACCACCCAGGTGCTCCCAACATAAGAATTTTAGGAGGATACAATTCAATTAATAGCAGTGGGTGAGCTCTTATTTAAAGAAAATGTGATGTGTAAAAATCTACGCATACAAAAGTAATCATTCACATTATAAAAGAAAAAGGAACTAGATGCAGTCTCTGTCAGCCAGGCATTTTATATACATTATCACATTTTATTTTATTATTATTTTTTAAATTTTTATTTATTTTTAAAATTTCTTTTCAGTGTTCCAGAATTCATTGTTTATGCACCATACCCAGTGTTCCATGCAATCCATGCCCTCCTTAGTACCCACCACCAGGCTCATCTAACCCCTCACCTCCCTCCCCTCCAAAACCCTCAGTTAGTTCCGCAGAGTTCCACAGTCTCTCATGGTTCATCTCCCCCTCCAATTTCCCCCACCTTCCTTCTCCTCTCCATCTTCCCATGTCCTCCGTGTAATTCCTTATGCTCCACAAGTAAGCGAAACCATATGATAATTGACTCTCTCTGCTTGACTTATTTCACTCAGCATGATCTCTTCCAGTCCCAACCATGTTGATACAAAAGTTGGGTATTCATCCTTTCTGATGGAGGTATAGGACTCCATTGTATATATGGACCCCATCTTCTTTATCCATTTGTCCGTTGAAGGGCATCTTGGTTCTTTCCACAGTTTGGCGATTGTAGCCATTGCTGCTGTGAACATTGGGGTACAGATGTTCTTGGGGTACTTCTTTTCACTACATCTGTATCTTTGGGGTAAATACCCAGTAGTGCAATTGCAGGGTCATAGGGTAGCTATATTTTTAATTTCTTAAGGAATCTCCAACTGTTTTCCAAAGTGGCTGTACCAACTTGTATTCCTACCAACAGTGTAAGAGGGTTCCCCTTTTTCCACATCCTCTCCAACACATGTTTACTGTCTTGTTAATTTTGGCCATTCTAACTGGTGTAAGGTGGTCTCTCAATGTGGTTTTGATTTGAATCTCCCTGATGGCTAGTGATGATGAATATTTTTTCATGTGTCTGATAGCCATTTGTATGTCTTCATTGGAGAAGTGTCTGTTCATGTCTTCTGCCCATTTTTTGACATGATTATCTGTTTTGTGTGTGTTGAGTTTGAGGAGTTCTCTATAGATCTTGGATATCAGCCCTTTGTTTGTATTTATCATCCATCACAATAATTGTGAGATGATACTATTTCTATATTATCAGTAAGGATATTAAAGCCAGAGAGAGTAGTGAAGTTAGAATTCAAACTTAGATTTGTCTCTCATCTTCATGTGCTTGTTAGTGTTGCCCCATAAAAGAAGCTTTTATTTCCAAAAGTAGGCACTCTTTGGATCCTTTTTAAAAAGCATGTTCTAGGGGCGCCTGGGTGGCTCTGTGGGTTAAAGCCCCTGCCTTCGGCTCAGGTCATGATCTCAGGGTCCTGGGATCGAGCCCCACGTCGGGCTCTCTGCTCTGTGGGGAGCCTGCTTCCTCCTCTCTCTCTGCCTGCTTCTCTCCCTACTTGTGATCTCTGTCTGTCAAATAAATAAATAAATTCTTAAAAAAAAAATAAATAAAATAAAAATAAAAAGCATGTTCTCCAGTCATTTCAAGTATTTACTTTGTACATTACTTTCTCTCCATCTTTATGTGTGTCCTCTAGTACATGAGCTTCACATTTTGAAATGTGTTTGTAGAAACAACTATCAGTGTTTCTGGTTGAGGGGATAAAATAAAAAATAGATGGAAAGATGTTTTCAGATTTAAAAGGACATTATAAAATTGTGTTTTCTATATAATCATTTATAGATACCCGAAGATTCTGAGAAATGATTGAAAGCAAGCACTTAAATTATTATTCATTGACTTACTAAAAACCACTTGATTTTACAATAGAAATATAAATAGAAGTCCAGTTTGCCACTGTTCTTAGCAGACTGTGTAATGATGTATATACAAGTTGTAATTTCAGATATAGTATAGTCAACATTAGCATAATGATTGACTTAAATGAATGGATGAATAAATGAATAGGTCTTGCTAGTTCACTGTTTTCCCTTTCAGGTCTGCTTTTTGTAATGTATTCAGTAATCTGTTTGACAGTGCTAGATATACAGAGGAGAAATCTTTAACCTGCGGTCTATGAGTTCCAGGGAAAAATAGTTTATTTTTATTTATTTTTTTTCTTAATTTGATATTTATCGTTTTTTTCTGCCAAACACTTCAGGTAATGGTTGTGTATTTCAGTGACACCCTATTTACTTAAAGCAGTGGCAGGCAGGATTTGGCCCTCAGGCTATGCTTTGCTAATCCCTGGTGTAGAAGAACAAAAGAGGAAAGAAAAGGAATACTGTTAGAAAAATTATAAATTACCTTTATATTAGGGAACGGGGGAATTGAATCTTTGGAGAAAGGCAACTATCTTTTTTTAAATTTATTTTTATTTATTTATTTTTTTTAATTTTTAAAAGATTTTATTTATTTATTAGTCAGAGAGAGAGAGAGAGAGAGAGCACACAAGCGTGGGAGAACACAAGCAGGCAGAGTGGCAGGCAGAGGCAGAGAGAGAAGCAGGCTCCCTACTGATCAAGGAGCCCGATGCGGGACTCGATCCCAGGACCCTGGGATCATGACCCGAGCTGAAGGCAGCGGCTCAACCAACTGAGCCACCCAGGCATCCCTCTTTTTTTAAATTTAAATTCAATTTAATTAACATGTAGTTGTTACTAGTTTCAGAGGTAGAATTTAATGATTCATCAGTTGCATATAACAACCAGTGCTCATTCCATCAAGTGCCCTTCTTTGTGCCCATCACCCAGTTATCCCACCCCTTTCTACCTCCCCTCCAGCAACCCTGTTTGTTTCCTATAGTTAGGAGTCTCTTATGGTTTGTCTCCCTCTCTGATTTTGTCTTATTTTTCCTTCTCTTCCATTATGTTCATCTGTTTTGTTTCTTACATTCCACATGTGAGTGAAATCATATGATACTTGTCTTTCTCTGACTGACTTATTTCGCTCAGCATGATACCTTCTGGTTCCATCCACGTCATTGCAGATGGCAAGATTTCATTCTTTTTGATGGCTGGGTAATACTCCATTGCATATATATGCCACATCTTCTTTATTCATTCATCAGTTGTTGGACGTCTGGGCTCTTTCCATAGTTTGGCTATTGTGGACATTGCTGCTACAAACATTGGGTGCAGGTGCCCCTTCAGAATACTATGTTTGTATCCTTTGGATAAATCCCTAGTAGTACAATTCCTAGGTCATAAGGTAGCTCTATTTTTTAATTTTCTGAGGAGCCTCCATACCGTTTTCCAGAGTGGCTATATTAGTTTGCATTCCCACCAACAGTGTGAGAGGGTTCTGCTTTCTCTATAGCCTCATCAATATCTTTCCTGACTTGTTAATTTTAGGCATCCTGACCAATGTGATACTATGTGGTTTTGATTTTTATTTCCCTGATGCCAAATGATGTTGAGCATTTTTTTTTTTATGTGGCTGTTGGCCATTTGTATGTCCTCTTTAGAGAAATGTCTGTTCATGTCTTCTGCCCATTTCTTGACTGTAGTTTTTTGGGGGGGGGCGGCAAACCACCTCCTTTTGACTGCATCAGATAAGAAAATTGGTGCCTTTTGATTTGTTATACTTGAGCTAAATCAGCTTCCAAAATGTATCCTGTTTTACCAGTACAAAAATAACATTTATTATAATCTTTCATTTGCAAAATGTGTAAGTCACAGAAGCTGCTGGTTGCTGCAGGGTTGCCCCAGCTGATTGTATGTATCGTGCCAGGGGACTGTTAAAGGGATGAACTATGTCCCCTGAAAAGATGGCAGGGCTTTGGTCCTAGTCCCCAGTGCCTGTGAATGTGACCTTATTTAGAAATAGTGTTTGCAGGTGACCAAAATGAAGTCATTATAGTGGGCCTAATCCAGTATGACTTTGTCCTAATAAAAGAGGAGAGGGGCCTCTGGGTGGCACAGTCAGTTAAGCATCCAGCTCTTGGCTTTAGCTCCAGCTATGAACTCAGGGTCATGAGATCAGGCCCTGCATCAGGCTCTGTGCTCATCAGGGAGTCTGCTTGAGATTCTGACTTCCCCTCTCTCTCTGCCCATCCTGCTTGTGCTTTCTCTCTTGCTCTCTCAGATTAAATAAATAAATCCTGAGGAAAAAATGAGGAGGGGCGTGAAGGTAGACATACTGAAGGAAAGGGATCTAAAAACATGGAGAAAATACCAGGTATAAGGCAAGGAATGCCTGCGTCCACCAGAAGCTGGGAGAGTCTTGGAATAGATTCTCTACCACAGTCTTCAGAAGGAAACAACCCTGCCAACTTGATCTTAGACTCCTAACCTCCAGAATGGTGAGATGATAAATTTCTGTTGTTTAAGCCATCCAGATTGTGTCAGTTTATTACAGCAGTCCCGAGTAATGAATCAGGAACCTTTCCTAATTTTGACAAACCTAGCCATATATCCATGGGACTGCACAGTCCTTGAGGGAGCAACTTTTTCCAATGGACGACTACTGGCAGCCTCAACTCTCTTCTAAGAAATCAGCTTACTCTTTGTTGCAAACTGCTGAAGGCAGCTTTGCCACGAAATGGATTTAATGTATTCAGTT